CCAGTGTTTCATGAAAGGACGAAGCACATAAAAGTGGATTGCCACTTTGTACGTGAGAAGGTGCTTAGTGGAGTGATAAGTACAGCATATGTGAAAACAGGAAATCAATGGGCAGATCTGTTTACCAAAGGGTTGAATCGGGGAAAAGTGGACTACATATGTAACAAGCTAGGACTATATGACATATACTCACCAGCTTGAGGGGGAGTGATAGAGCCAGCTGTACAAGGGTAGTATAGTCCTTTTATGTTTAGTTATATATGTATTGTTCAGCTGATGTGGCTTTCACTTAAGTCAGGGCACAATGGTAATTCTTGTATACCTTAGAAGAGTATAAATAAAAGAAGGGCCAACTAAAGGGATTTGAATTTTTCTCTCTAGTTCGGCCGTGGCCTTTTCTCCTTCTTCTTCTTCTCCTTCTCCTTCTCTCTCTCTCTTGTCCTTCTCTTTCTTCTGATCTGAACTTATACGAACATCTAGTCTGAGTTTTATCACATATGTTCCTTTTTCCTTGGGCGGGGGTGGGGGTTTTGGAGATTCAGCCATCAATACCATATGCACTTTAGAACAGAATAAAGAAAGACATAAGAAGATGTTACCAAAACTATTTGGTTTAGATATCTGGATGCATTGTAAGTGGCATTAGAGGAAATATTCTCGCTGTTTGGTCCCATTTTGTGCATCTATTTAATTGAAGCTCAGTACCAAGGAGCTGTCTGTGTTGATCTCCCTTGGCCAGCAAGAAGGTCTAGCGGCATGGAATCATCCTATGGAATACAATGGCTTTTCATTATATTGGTCATTTGGGAAAAGTAGAAGAGCTACATATCTGACAAGAAAATCTCTTCTTGGTAATTGGTAGGGCATAGAGGCTATTAGAGTGTTGGTTAGATGCCAATGGTAGCAGATTATTTTCCACTTTTCTTTTAAATCATATAAAAGTATGCATGATATGCACAGTTCTTCCTCATTAAACATGTAAGCATGTTGTATCCTGTCCCCCCCCCCTCCTCCTTCCCTAGTGAATAATAAAGGAAAAAGAAAATAAGTAGTTACTTCAGAAGTGAAGCAAACCATAAATATAAATGAACTCACCCAGTATAATTTGAAAACCTTTCTGCACCAACAATTTCTATAGCCTCATTGTCAGCCATAGATGGCAGGAAAAGCATGCTAATAATTAATTCAGGATTGATCATGAAACAGATCTCTTCCTACACAAGATTATAAAGACATGAAAAAAAGTAAGGATCAAAACTTCTACAGATCAAGCAGTTTTTTCATTTACCAAAAAAAAAAGCAAATTTTTCGATTTTGATAGGTTAAGAAAATTATCAATGAACTATTCAATATTTGATTAGGGAGAAGGGTGCAATGTGCAAAAATAAAGAGAATAAAACATATACACCGAGTAACTTACACTAGGAAAAGGACATTATCACAGGCACGAAAAATTGCTTCCAATTATTCTTTGGTAATTAAAATGAGTTATAATTATTTCACACACAATGATGAATCCTGGATACTAGTATTTACAAGTACTTCAAAAGGATCACTTTAAACTTGTCTTTTCATAAAATTTGGTCATCCTTTACTATTGGTAAATGGTCTCTAGCAAGGTTTAAAGTGTCAGTGACATTGCAAATGCTTGCCATCCAAATATAGGAAACATGTTGAAAATGTCAGAAATGTGGTATAGAAATATTGTAAAAATTATAGACCTGGTGGAAACATGGTAAAATATGCAGAAATATACAATGATATTTTATGAAATGATAACAAAAGCATAAAACACCCTTTCAGATTTTTATCTTTCTGAAAATCATCAAGCAAAGCTGAGAAACTAAGATCAATAGACAAAATAACATACTAAGAACCTGTAGACTTGAGTTAAAACAGTAAATTCAAGAAAAATTTAAACTCACAAAAAGTGCACATGATTCTAATAAATTAACCAAAAAAATCTATACACAAACAAAAGCTAATAGTTAACATCACATCAAAAAAGAATTTCAAGTAGGCTCAAAGTGGTCATCATCTCCATCAGGCAGGCAATAATACTGCTGCTCCACATATCTGCAATATTGGTTGCTAATTCATCATGTTATAATACTATCTTGTGTACTCCACATAGCAAATGTACTTTTCACTTGGGAATTAACCATAGAAATGGAAATATTAGGAAACATATCAACATCTTAAACCATGGTCTCTAGATAAAATTTATCTACTTCACTAAAAACTTGAGAGTAAATGATTTTCCTTTTTGCTTGGAAACTGATTAAGGGAATTTTATTTTATCAACAAAAAAGAGTCAAACATGCAATTGTTAGACCACTTCATTAGATAGAGAAGCCTATCCATCAAACTCACAATGGAAGAATTAGACATTAAATATCGCTCATCAAAGTCATAAAATGAGAGAGAGTAGGTTAAGGTTGTAAGGCCAACTATGTTGTATGGAGCAAAGTGTTGGGCAATCAAGAAACAACATGTTCAGAAAATGTGTGCAGAAATGTGAATTCTAAGATGAATGAGTAAAAAAAAAACCAGAAAGGATAGGATCAAGATGAAACCATCCATAGAAACCTAAGAGAGTAGGAGTGGCACCAATAAGTGATAAAATAAGAGAGAGTAGGCTAAGATGGATTGGTCACAGCTCCCTCTCGCTTTGAGAATATGCAGTTGTGTCACCCGGGCTTTATACAAAAGATTAGAGAGTGGGGGGAGGGGGGGAGCAACTTGAGAGTTGAATGGAAAGGGATGAGATTTCACAGGAAGCTGCAAGATTTAAAATCCAAGATCAAGGAATGAAACATTTTGGAGTTTGGGAGGTTTGAAGAGAAGAAACAATCAGTGATTAATCAAATGAGATAAGGAAACTAGATGGACCCTAAGGAAACAATTGGAAGATGTACTTCATAAAGAAGAAATCAGTTGGAGACGGAAGTCAAGGCATAAATGGATTAAGGAGGGTGATAACAACACTAAATTCTTCCATGCAATGGCAATTAGCAGGAAGAGGAGGGATCACATCAAGATTATTGGTTGATGGGGTTTTTATGATTAATCAGAATGAGATAGTTGGGGCATTTAAAGAGCACCTTCGATCAATTTACAAAAGACCTTTGAAGGAAAGAGTGTGGCTTGAAAGTATTGAATGGTCAAGGGTTCCAAGTGAAATTAAGAATTGGTTGGAGAGGAGATTTGAACCGGAGTAAATTATGGAGGCTATTTTTTGAATGGATAGATGCAGAGCCCCTAGGTCGAATGGATTCACAATGGCCTTCTACCAAGATTGTTGGGACATTTTAAAAGAAGATTTATTAGAAGTGTTTGATTAGTTCTTTGAAAGAGGATTAATTAATCCAGGACTTATTTCTACTTTCATTGCCTATGTGTCTAAAAGAAAGTGATGCAACACATCCTCGGGAGTTTAGACTTTAGACCCATTAGCTTGGTAAATAGTCTGTAAAATTATAGCTAAAGTTCTGTCCTTGAAGATTAGAGTTGCTCTCCCTTCCATTATTTCTCCAAACCAGGGTGCTTTTGTAAGGGGTGGGTAAATCATAGACCAAATCCTAATTGCTAATGAATATGTGGAGGATTTCAAAATAAAAGGGGAAAAAAAGCTTTGTGTGTAAACTAGATCTAGAGAAAGCTTTATGATATGGTGGATTGGTCTTTCTTGTTGGAAGTTTTAGGGAGTTTTGGTTTTAGGGAGAGATGGTTCAATGGATAAAAGGGTGTATTAGGACTTGTTATTATTCCTTATTGGTGAATGGAACAGTGGTGGATTTCCTTCCGGCCTTAAGAGGGATTAGGCAAGGAGATCCCCTTTCTCCTTTTCTATTCACTCTTATTACTAAGGGTCTTGGGAAGCTAATTTCTAGGACAGACTCACAAGATTTGGTGAGTTGGAAGGTAGGTCATGGCAAGATTGTAATTACACATTTGCAATTTGCAGATGATACAACTTTTTGAGCTAATTTCCAACCTTAAAATGAATTTTGAAAAAAGTTGTATTGTGGTTGTTAATATGGAAGAAGAGGAGATGGTGGCGTATGAAAACATTTTGGGTTGTGAGGTGACACAATGGCTAATAAAATATCCGGGGCTACCTTTTGGGGATAATTCAAAAAATTTGGGCTAAAATAGTGGCAGGCATTCATGGGCTTGCAGTTGATGGTTGGTATGCTACAATTTTGACTAGGGCTACCAAAGCCTCCCCTTGGAAGACCATCCATACCTTTCTCCCCTCTTTCCTACCTATTGTCAGGTATGACATTTTTGTAGTGATTTTATAAAATTTTGGGAACAAGTGTGGGTAGGTGACATATCCTTGAAAGATAAATTCCCTTCTATTTTTGCCCTGTCAAAATATAACAAACCTATGTCTAATTTCTTGGTTCCTTCAAGCTAAAGAAATGGCTTTGATTGGGATCTAGGATTGAGATGGGCTGTGAGGAATTCGGAACTAAATGATGTTTTGGACTTGCTTCTTATCCTTGATGGGGTCTATTTGGACTCCTTGAAACTTGATAGTTGTATTTGCACCCTTTCCTCATCTGGTCTTTATTCTCATGCTTCTTTTTTAAGGCTCTTACTCAACCTTTCAATTCATTGGGGCTGTCTTTTCCGGTGAAGGAGGTTTAGGGCAATCCCATCCCTCCAAGAATTGGAGGTTTTTGTTGGGAAGTCTTCCTGGAAAGAATTAAGACATGTGATTTACTCCAAAGGAAAAGAAATCATTGGTGCTTATCCCCTCACTAGTGTGTTATGTGTAAAGCTAATGGAGAAACTTACTTTCACTTACTAATCTCTGTCCCTTTGTAACTTTTATTTGGAATGGTTCTTCTCATTGTTTGGCTGTAGGTGGTCCCCCCCCCCAAACTAATGTGCAAAGTTTGTTTGCCTCTACTTTTTTGAAGTGGCAAAGAAAAGGGGGACAAGTGTTATGTAAGTGTGTGAGGGCTGCAGTGTGCTGGACCATTTGGGAAGAAAGGAACTCAAGACTATTTTCAGGTAAAGAAAGAACTAGAGAGGCAATCATAGTAACTATCATGGTAAGAGTGGTTCATTGGGTAAAATCCATGGAGATATTCGCAAATTTCTCAACGGGTGATATCATGAAAAACTGGAAGTGGCTAGTTCTGATTGTTATAAGTCCAACACAAGCCCTATTTGGTTTCCACCAATGAGTGACTACATGAAGTTGAACTTTGATGGGAGTAGTGTAGGTAACCCAAGTCCCTCTAGTATTGGAGAGGTCTTTAGAAATAGTGAAGGCAGAATTATTGGAATATTTTCAGGCCCAATAGTAGGTGACTCCTTAAGGGCTGAGGTTATGGCTGTCATGGAGTGGCTGCAAAAGGCAAAAGACATGAACATAAGGAAGCTGATTATAGAAGGTGATTCAAAGATGGTAGTGGACTGGCTGCAAAAGGAAGTGTAAGAGGATGGCATCACAAAAGTATATAGATCCGGTTGACCCAAGACTAAACCTGGGTCAAACCGGTCCATTGTAACAATAATAAAGTCAAATTTCTAGTGCTGAACACTCCAGTATGAGCTAGAATAATCTAGAATGGAAATAAACATGTGGCTTAAGTGACTAAACAAAGAAAGTTCTAGAATAAAAGGGTAAAACAGGAAATAACAACTAACAGGAGAAATCTAGAAAGTGATTTAATCACATGTTTTAAATGCATAAAGAAAGAGTTAAGAGGTTTTACCTAGGGGAGAGTTAAGAGGTTTTACCTCTCCCCTTCTTTGTACTTATTTCTCTAATCATTAATGAAAGTTCTATGTTATTCATCAAAAAAAAAAGCATAAAGAAAGAGAACATTCCAGAACAAGAGGGTAAAATGGGAAAAGGATTACAACCTAAGAAGTTTCTGTTACATGGCCCCCAAAACCTATAAATAAATGTTCTTCATCCAGTTCAAAGAACTTTTGGACCTCTCTCTCTCTAAACCGCCATTGATTTTCTCTCCCTCTCTGCCTCCCATGCAGCCATCTGTTACCCTTCATGTCATTTCCGGAATTCCATCTCCAACAAACTACAGCAGCCTGCTCCCTCACCAGAGAGTTTGTAGGCAGCTCCTCTGGCGGTCCAGCGACTTCTTCCTCCCTTCCTTTCCCCTTTTCTGCTCTACAGCCTGAACCAGTTCCTCAGATCTTCAGAATACAGACCACCACATCCACTGGCCTTACAGGAAGAAAAGGGATTTTGGATGTTTAATAAAGAAAAGAAAAGGTTCAAGCGGATGACACAAAATATAGATGTGAAATTCAGTTGGGTTAAAAGAACTGCAAATGAGTTTGCTGATGTATTAACAAAACAAAGGGTGGAAAGGAATCAAATGTTTTGGGCTCAATTGTAATAGCAAATCTCTTTGTGGAGAGTTAAGAAAATTAACTTCTCAAAATCTTGTAACTTCTCAGAAGTGGTTTGTTACAACTTACAAGTGGAAGGGGCTAGAAGAGCTAGGGGTAGACCAAAAAGGAAATGGGCAGAAGTAGTAAGAAATGATTTAAGCACTAATAGAATGGATTGGCAATGATGTTGATGATATCACTCATCAAATAAAAAAGGCATTAAGAACCATCTCATACAAATCATGCATGCCAATGCCAGAGGATGTCAAACTATCAGCAAAGGAGTTTTCTGATCTTCATCTAGATTAGTTTTTCACCTAGTATGTTAGAGCTGAGACTCCTTAATATCTTGAAGGAATGATTCTCATGCTGATTTTATCAGGGCCAGGTGATGCAGGTGGCAATTTTCAGAGACTGGAAAAAAAGGCCATTATCCAATGTTGGTCCCAGCTTTCTGAGGTCTTGGGAAGGGTAGGATGTATGCAGTCCTAACCTTTGGCATTTTTTTTTTTTTGCACAAAATAGTCATTCTCAGACTCAAACCTGTGTTATCATTTTACGATTACACGAAGTAGACCAGAAATGATCCATAAATACATGCAATATGATAAGCAGAACCAGAGAAGGTGAAAGAAGGGAAAAGTTTCATCACTGTATTTGCTTCATGTGTGGTGCAAATCAAGAAACAGTGAAGTACTTCTTAATTGCAGCTTTTTCTTAGAAATACATAACCATTCCTTGCAGCTTTTGGCCATTCCTTGCTAGGCCCTGAAGTTAATGTTTACCTCATATTATGTTGGTATCCCTTTTTCCCATTGTGGGTGAGAGGCTTTCTTTGAAGCTTTAATTATTTTTCTCTTTCACTTGTTGATGTTGGCTTGTGATGAATTCAAAGGTTTGACTTATACTTATTTTACAAGAAGTCAAGAACCTGCTCAAGATCCTTGGTCTTGGGCACCCATCTCAAGGGGCTCACCCCTGCTACCTGGATAGTGATGTGAAGCCAGTTTGATGACTGTTAGGGCTCACCCCTCCATAAGTGGGATCTACAACAGTTAGGGTATTCCTTTCCCGGGATAGCAGCATCGTTTGGGCCTACAATGGAAATATTGCTGAAGCAATCCCAAAAGGCAGAGGTGGTCATGCTCCTTACAGGTGCCCAGATTGTCAAGTGTCTGCAATTAACCCCTTTAGTTGTTTAAGGCAATCTGCTAATGCAATTAATCAGTGTACATTTGTTGGCAGAGGCCCTTGGAGGTTTACTTGCTACATTAATCAAGTAGGGTGATCTTTTCTTTTGCTTCAGGTCCAGGTTAGCTGAACTGGATTAGAACTTAATATGATTGCTGATGGTCTAGCCAGATTGGATGTGAAAGATTTTTGCACAGCACAAGTCCTTTGCCTCATTGATGTTTATCATGTGGAAATGGATGGATCTGTATAACTATACCTCTTATACATTGTTGTATATCTCCTCTATACACTTTTTTGCATATACATTTGACAAAGAAAAAAAAAAGAAAGTAAAGGAAAGAATAAGGAAAGAAGAAAATTGGTGTCCTTCAATTTCCTTTATATTTTTCAATGAAATTTCTTGAAATCACAATGATCACAGGACAAGGAGCATATTTTTATTCCACAAGTTTGACAAGCAAACCTGTACGCAGCCCCTATGAAGAGCACCACCCCCAATATACTTGTTGGCAAAGTCAACTTGCAATGCTTCACATGGTTGATCTTCTATGAGTCCTGAATGTAAAACCTAAACAGAATTCAGTGTAATTGAAAACGTGAAGGATTGAATTATATTACATATCCATGCACATTTACCCGTAAAGAAGCAAGTATTTCTTTTTGCTATTACCAGACAAAACATCAAGGAATTATATAAATAATACAAACCTTTGCAGACATGATGAACCAACATGCTAATTACCAATACCACATTTAACCTTTGGTGAATACATGCAAAAAAGATTCATTAAATGGTTTTCAACGTTATCTACAACTTGCTTAATTTTTTTAATTTTTTAAATTTTTTGAATTCTAAAAGTTTCTGAAATTCAATTGATACTTTTTAACTTTTAATATGAAATATATATATATAATTGTTTAAATGTTCCTAATTGCAAGTAGTTTTCTAAATAAGTTTCTTATTTCAATATAAGTTGTTTAAATAATTTTTATATCATGTACATATCACACAGTTTGTGTTACATTACTTGGATCTTACCTGTCCCCGAATTCCTCTACCAACCCCCTGTTTTTCCATTGCATCAACCAACTCATTAGTTGATCTATGGACCCAGCTGAAGCCGATAACAAGATTCCTTACCAACAGTCCTCTCTATCCCTTATCTTTCTATGCTAACTGGAAATGTAAGAACCAACAAACAGGGTCTAAATCATCCAAGGAAGCTGAATATCAGGCAATGTTTACAGTTTGTAGTGAGATTATATGGCTCAAAGCCTTGTTGCAAGACTTGGGCATGGATCATTCCTCTCATGTTCCCTTACTTTCTGACAACATGAGTACCATCAAGATTGTTACTAATCATGCCTTCCAATGACAAGAGCTAAACATGCTTTTCTAAGTGGCAAACTGATGCTCACTTCCCCGTGCCAGTTTGAGTTAGACATGCTTTTCTAACCCTAGCATGTACATCATACTCTGCTCTGCCATAAACTACCTATTGATCTAATTGTGGATAAATTAATGATAGAAGGTGATTCATAGGTGGTAATCAGCTGGTTGAAGAATGAGGAAAAAGCCTTATGGGTACATGGAAACGAAATGAAGAAATACGGATAATTGACAAGGAATATGCAAGTAATTGTTCGCTGGATTCCAAGGTTGGCTAACTCTTGGGCAAACTTTTAAATATTATTCTGGGGAGAGAGAGCATTGCTATGCTCTGTCTTGTATTAAATTGTACAACTGTTCATATCAATGAAAATTTTCTTGTTGCTGATCAAAAAAACTATGTAATAGAATTTCTAGTATCTTGAGTATTTATTGTTAATTGTTTATGCAGTTGTTAACATGAGCAGTACCTCATTTTGCCATTTAAACATCGAAATTTGAAACAAGTGAATTTATTTATGTTTATATGGTTTTCATGTCCTGGCCAATCCATGCACTTCCATCTGGATCCACCATGCATCTCTTACAAGTTGTTAACTTATTTATGAATACACCCCTAGATATCAAAAGTTCAACTTTTGCAATATGCCAAAAAGGTATAATGAAGCATCTGGAAATCACCTGGAATAAACTAATTTAATTTATGGTTCAGAACACATAATCATTAACAAATTTTGCAATATGCCAAAAAGATTTAATTCATCATCAAACATGGAAATTTTGCAGTCTTACAAAATCATTAACAAATTTAAAGGAGATCAACTTTGGTTTGAAGAAACATACTCATTTCAACCTTTTTAATAAACATGAAAAGATTTCATTCTGAACAGCTTCAAAGTACAATTTTAAGCAATCTCCCTGAACATAAATCATTGAGAAAATGACTAGTAAGGGATAATGCACACTTCTTACCTCAAAATGGCAGAGGGAAACAGCAGATCTACTCCAGAAATCACTGCTGGGATAAGAAATAACAGAATGATCAGGATTCAAAGGAAGAACTTTGCGCTCAAATGAGACGCATCCCATTGGCATATGTGAACATATCCTTTCAAAGTAGTGTATAAGACACTTTATTTTATGTTCTTGCTTCTCGTTATAACCAGTATACAAGCTCCTGAAAACAGAAATAGTAATTAATAGTGAGATGACTGTTTTTTTTTTTTTTTTGAGGGAAGTTTAACCAAATTTCATTAGAAGAAGGAGCACATGAGAGGATGTACAAAACAGGGGAAAACCCCAAAGAGATTACAAAGGAGGAAGCCTATCACTATACAGATTTTCTAAGCAAGCACCCACTCACCTAGTTTAGCTAAGCCATCTGCAATAGGATTTAGCTCCCTCAGGATCCAAAACAGGTTTGTATTTAAACATTCCAAGGAATCCCTTGCCTCTGCCAAATAATGGCTCAACCTCCAAGGACCCCTTTCCTTATCCCTATGGTGCACAATATCTACGAGGTGTGGTGAAATCTCCCCACTTTAACTGGGGACAATACAAAATATTCTAATAATCCTTTTTTCCCCTCATAACACTGATATATCATCTATATTTTTTTTGGCTGATATATCATCTATATTTTGGAGATATTTTGAATTCCATCGATAAATTAGACTTCTAAGATTAAAATTTTAGAACACTGTCAAAAAATTCCTATAATTCGTTAAAACATTGAAAACTTATATATAATTTCCTAAAAAAAACCAATAGGGTTTCTGTGATTGGATAGCTGTCTTATGATTCTTTTTTATGAATGAAATTAGTTTTATTAAATCAGATATCAATAATACAATCAGCCTAGGAGGCACGAGATGTTACCCCCCCTAGGACTGAACCATATACACCAAAACTGCCCAGGCCTGAGACACAATTATAAAGTAGCCCAAAAAAGATTTCCCCTTGACACCCCTTGCTTGGCCAAAGAACCAGCCATTGCATTTTCTGATCTTCTGACCCACTGAAACCTAACAGTCATATTCCTTGTCATCCATTTAACTTTCTTTAGCAGATAGCTGTCTTATGATTCTAAATGTGATTCACTATGTCATTTATAATTAAAAAAGGACAATCGATCAGGAAAGAGAATTTTCAATCTAACCAAAACATATAGTAACAAAAAAGACAAAAATAACATGGCAAATGAATTGCATACATATAAAACTGAAGATAGTTAAAAGACAAAGGGAGATAAAAAGAGTTTACTATTTAAGTCTGTCTCACTTCCTCAATGATACTGGAAGCTGTAACTGAAATCTTAACTGTTGTTAGATGGATACCAAGAGACCTTAACAGAGTAGTAAATGGGTTGGCTGGGCCTGAGGTTGAAACAGGCCTTTTGTATGGCAAAACAAATTTACCTGGCTCATTCTTTTCTGTGTTGGAGGAGGATTTTTATTGTACCTTTTGTGCATCAATGTGCATCTCTTTTTGCAATACAAACACAAATACAGATTGCCCTTTCTAAAAAAAAATCATGTCTAGGGTGGTAATATCAATAAGGAGTTAAAAAAGACCATTTCTCTACTTTTTTATGAGCACCTCTCTACATATTATTTGCAATGTAATTTTAAGGGTTAAAAACTTAATGCGCCCCTGGGTTATGCAAAATGATTAAGTATAGCCTCCATGTTTAAAGAATACATTAAAGTACACTCAGGTTTTCTGACAATAAGACAAATATGTCCTTCCGTTAGCACGCCGTTGAATTCCATTCACATGCAGCACATGATTGTCATAATATGTTAAAAACCCAATTTTGTGCTCTCTTCTTCTTCACCGTCTGTAAGTCTGACTTTGATATAGCAGATACAAGATGACCACTCCAATCAAAAATCACAGCACTTCTCCATCACACCAAATTGAGGCAAAATGAATGTGATAAGTACTCGTGATGGAAGAACCAGGCCCGAGTTTCTTCCAAGAGCACCCCACCAAATCGACTATCAATCAAGAAACAGAGACTGCCTGCAACACTCTTCATGAAACAGACATTGCCTATACAGGAACTAGTTTTTAGATCTCTGGATTCCATTGCAGATATACTGACAATATATCCTTCTTTTTCTCATTTATTTTGTTTGACATTCTTGGAAATTTCTGCAATCGAGGGGGAAGAAACTTCTAATCAAACTCCTGCAATTTCTACCAATAAATCCAATGAACCATTTAACCATTTTTTTGTGGAAACTTAGCCAAAATCTGAAAGCTGCAAAGTGCAATGATTGGGACTCCACAGCAAATGGGTTGGTGAGATTCCTCACACTCTGCAGAATGGAACTAACAAGTTGCCTCTCAAGATCCCATGAGCTGTAATTACAAGACTGCCATTACAGCTATAATCAGTAATAGTCTGAGCACTTGTTGTCCTAACTGCAATAAACATATTTTAAAAGCAACAGATTAGTGATACTGGCCAAGCAACAACAGTTTATTGTACTCCAAATCAAACATGTAAATAGGAAGCTTCCATCTAGATATGAACATTAGAACCCCAATTGAACAATGACAGACAAGACTTTGACTGCCTTGTATTCGTCAATGGCATAACTATAACCAAAGGCCAAAAACTTCTGTAAAGAAGTCCCAGCAAGTCAAAACCATGAGAATAGCTTCAGGCAACTTCTTGAACTCTTCGATGGATGTATTCATTGTACATAGACACCAAGTCATTACAAAGCCTGCCACCACGGGATAATGCAAGGAATTCTTGTACTGTACATTGAATTTTCTCACTGCTGCTCCATACAGTCAATGTAATAGAAATCTCCAAAAGCTGCAACCATGATATGGTAGGGAGGTTGTCAGTGCAACTTCCAACTGCTTCCCAATTCAGATGTTTTAGCAAAACAAGGGTCACTAAATAACTTGTGCTACGATTTGTATACACATCTAAATTGAAGGAGTCGTTTCACAGGAAGTCTGTCAAGAGTATGCCAGTGAAGGCTTATTCTGGGATGCCAGAAAATGGTCATCTTGATGGAAATTCCATTTGGAGAAATCCATAAGTAAAATCCACCTTGAAAACCTATAAGTGGTGTAGAATCTCGACTCCCCAATCTCAGAAGTGTTCAACAGCAAATAAATTTGGAGATTTTTCTATTTCTTGCTTTGTTTGTTTGTTTTTTATCAGTATTTCTTGCTTTGTTTGTTGTTCCTCTGCCTTCCTTCCACTTCAAATTAACCAATAATCCATACACCATGAAGTTAAGATTCATAGCTGTTGATACACTTCAGAAAATCATGGTATTAGAAGGGCAACCATGTTTGCTATGTTTGAAAATTTGAAAAATAATGAGGGAAAAAATAGACATTGTGAACTTCCATCAGGATATAACAGTTTTTTTTAATTGGTGCGTCAGGAGATAACAGTGGTGTCCTATTTTGAGAAGGGTACTTTAAGGTATTCTTTAAACATGGAAGGTATACTTGGTCCATTTTGCAAAAACCCAGGGATACTTTAAGTATTTAACCCTAATTTTAATAGTTGTCATTTATTTGTCAAAAAAAATTAATAGTTGTTCCTGCCAGGTGATGGGGCTTTCACATACAAATTCCTTCATACATAAAGAAAGCTCAACATATTTTGCATGTATACTTTGAAAATGAGATACATATTCATGTCAGATATATTTAATGTTTTAAAAGCAATAAGAGCAACTAACAGAGGCACAAGGTGCAAGGTGAAGCACACCTGAATGAGGTTAAGTGCTACCATTTTCACTTTCTATCAAGTCCTACATCAGTTGAACTGTTTAAACTCTAAGCATCACTGGTACAGCCTACACTATAATAAATTACATATCCGGCACCAAATTCAAGGTCAATTCATAAAAATATAGCCAGGTTAGTACCTGGATTCAAGCTAGGCACACCCCAGAAAATGAGCCTTGCCCGTGATTCTAAGCACACCCAAAGCATGCTTTTTAAATCACGGCTTCAATAGCATTGTGTCCTTGCTGTATCTGGGAAACATATCTATCAACCACATAGATGCTGCAAAAGATGCAGCTCTCTTCATTCTTTGCATGTCCTTGTTTGCCTTCTCCCTCCCCTCCCCCTCGCCCTTATGGATTTATGAATATTTGGCAGCCTTAGCTGCTCTATCTAATTCATATTTCTGTGTACAATGCTAGGGATCTGCATCTCTTGGTATCACCCCCCAAAAAAGTCGGTTTCTATTTGCTCCCTGTTTAGCTAGAGTGTCTGCCATGTTGGTTGCTGATCTTGGTATGCATACTATTTGAGCCCATAGTTCTGTTATCCAATGCTTTATCTACATGCCTATACGGCCATGGTCCCAATTTGTTTTGTGCAATCCACCCTATCACTATTGATCAAAAAAAATCCACCTTACCACTACCCAAGAGTCCCCTTCCATTGTAGTTTAATGCTTTCCCAAGCTTCAATCCCTGATGTAACACTAGTAACTGTGCCCTTGATGATTCTCCTATGCCCACTAGTAACCGGGACCATGACTGTTTAGCTAGACTTTCCGCCATGTTTTCTGATATTGGTATGCATACTATTTGAGTCCATAGTTCTGTTATCCAATGCTTTATCTATGTGTCTATACTGCTATGGTCCCGGTTTGTTTTGCATGATCCAACCTAAACATACCCAAGAGTCACCTTCCATTGTAGATTAATGCTTTCCCAACCTTCAATCCCTGATGTAACACTAGTAACTGTGCCCTTGGTGATTCTCCTATGCCCACAGGTCCTGAGAACGAGGCCCTTACAGCTCCATTGCTGTCTCTATACATACCACCCATACCTGATCTTCGTAGGGTTCCAAAACTGTAGCCATCAAAATTGAGCTTTAATCTGATTATACTTGATCAGTGTTTTAAAAGTGCAAGACACAAAAAAAAAAAAAAGAGCAGAGGGCATTTTGTGCCCAAGCAGCAAGGTGCAAGGTGAGGCACGCGCTTTTTGAAGCAAGGAACAAAATTTAAAAAAAAAAATCAAAAATTTGCACAAAAATGCAAAAAGTAAGAAATTCAAAAATAATTAATAAAATAATATAAATAGTATTAATTGAAAATGCAAAATTTAATTTTAAACAAATGTTTAAAAGGTTCATTAGCTTAAATAAAATACATAAACACAACATATGAAACATATTCAAAGTGAAAATGCAAAAATAATCATATATAGCAGATAAACATATTGAAACATGTCAAAATTTCAATTTATTTATTTCTTTGTCGGTTACATTATTTTAAATAGCTAATGTGACGTTAAGCATCTTTCATTACTAATTCTACAAGCCGCCTTTATACCAAGCCCCTTGAGGCAAGCCCAAACAAGCCAATGTTAAGATCTTAAATTTGCAATCCCTACAAAAGAAAAGATTTGTAATTTTAATTATCTTTTTAAAAATATCTTTTATTAGGAAAATGAATGAACAACATTAGCAAATAGGGGCTTCTCAGAGCTGCAGTGAGTGAGCTCAGGCGCAAAGTGCACCGCGCACAGTCGCACACCTTTTCAAAATGGCTGCACTGGGCCTAGGCGAGGCACAGACCTTAAAATGTGCCTTGCTTGTGTGCCTAGGCGCGCCTTTTAAATCAATGACTTCATGGTCTCCAAATAACTTGTGTCTGCCTCCTTGTTTGCTTACTCTTATGCATGATTGTTCTCATTTAAAACTTGTGCTATTGTACTAGGTCTTCACTTTAAGAGAAGCAATTTACAAGCATTGATAAAATTAAACTGGTTTGCATTAGTCATCTTGTAGGTTTTTTAGGATTTCTTCCATCCTACATAAACTGACATGTTAACAAACTAGCTAACTTGTAACCCAAGTCCAGTGTGTAAAGGATCATGATTGAACGGAGTTCAGTCCTACTTTCCTTAAAAATCCTTCTCATTTACTTTCTTAATATGATCTTTCCATTAGTCATATCTCCTAATTGACATTAGAAAAATAATATCACAGAGTTTATAAAACTAGCTGAAAACAATTATGCATATCCATCAAATATGATCCACCTTAAGACAAACGAAATATCCACAATTGCAGGACTTCAAACTCATTGTCGTAGTGACATCAGTACCAATTGTATAAGATGAATAAAGATGCTGCAAATATCTCATAAAAGTAAGAAAAACATTGTAAAAGGTTAGACACAAAGGTCACATACGCAAATAAACAATCAAAGTTGATGGCTGGAAGATGTTTGACACCTCTATCATAGGTTGGAAACAAACAAAAGAAGGAGCATGCAAGAAGAGCACTGATCAGTTCCTGAAAAGCAACAAAGTTTTCAACATCATAACTAAAAATCCTAAAGCATCTGCAGAAGATACATATTTAACTTAACGATTATATAAAATTAATTACTATGCAATATGCTTGGTATCTCACATTTAAGACATCATATGGAGAAACATATTTGGACACATCGACAATTGATAAAATTAGACAGGTACAATGATCCTGTGTTCCTTGCGCTACACAATAGAGGAAATAGAAACCATTGCTACTCCAAAGAGCATGTAACTAATATAACATGAATAATCAATGTTCTTTAGGAGAACAGTCAAACAAACATATCAACTGCATCTAAACTAGGCAACAAGATAGAGAATCTAATGTAAAGTGTGATCAGACCTGGAAAACTAATTAAATCAATGGGAAAATCCCAGAAGCTATCCAAAAACACTTTGATTAGGAGAGAAAAAGAAGAAAAGAAGTTGAAGAACATAGGCTGCAAGCAGAAAAGACCAAACTAACTTCTCTAGCCTCCGCCCCACTCTCTATTTATTATATTAAATCTAAATTTACACCACTACCTATGGCTTAGTAGAATAAAGAAATAACAAATAGAAACAAAAGAAAAAGACCAAACAGGCCCTAATGACCATCCCTATAATACACTCTCCCTCAAGTTGGAGCATATATATCATAACTCCAACTTGTTAAAAATGTATTTGATCCATCCACGACTCAATCCTTTGGTGAAAAGATCATCTAGTTGATCTTCAGACTTCACATAGGGTGTAACAATTTCTCCACTAACAACTTTCTCTGTAACAAAATGACAATCCACCCATATGTGTTTGGTTCTCTCATGAAACACTAGATTGGAAGAAACAGCTTAGTGGGGATTGAAACCACCAGTCCTATCTCCTGTAATAACTGCTTCAACCACATCAATTCGCTAGTATGGGTCATGGCTCTATACTTGGCCTCAGCACTATTCCTAGCCACCACATTCTTCTTACTTTTCCAAGTAACCAAGTTCCTACTAGAAGTGTGCAATATCCAATTGTGAACTTTCTAACTAGGGGTGGAAATGAATCAAGCTTTTCACAAGCTATTCGAGCTCGGCTTGTGAAAAGCTTGATTCGGCTCGGTTTAAACCGAGCTTCGAGCCGAGCTCAAGCCGGATATATAGGCTCATTTTCTAATTGAGCCAAGCTCGAGCCTAATGAAGCTTGGCTCATGAGGGACTTGGGAGGGTAGTTAAAAAAATCAAGCTCTATTAGGGAAATGGTTGTGGTGATGGCCATTGGAAAGTGAAAGGTTGTGGCATGAAGTGGTGGGAAGGGAAGCATTCACGGGAGCTCATAATATGGATGGGATGTTGGTGTATCAAGGCAGGCTAACCTAGCAGCACCTTGGAAGGCCATTCACATCACCTTTCCTGAATTTCTCAATTTTATCAGGTATGAAGTTTGTTCTGGCAATGTTGTTTGTTTTTGGGAGGATATCTGGGTAGGAGACACCCCTCTAAAGGACCTTTTCCCTTTGTTATATTTTGTTTCTCACCCTCGGGAACACCTTTGGCTCCTAATTGGGATTTTGGCTTTCGTAGGGGACTAAGGGATGATGAAATTGAATCTCTCTCTGACTTGCTATGTTACCTTAATCAAGTTTGCTTGGATCCCTCCAAGCTAGATAAAAGGGTGTGGGCTCCTAGACCCTAAGGGACCTTTACTTGTGCTTCTTATTTGAAGTCCATCTCTCAGTCTTCTACTCAACAATCCTTTCTGTCAAAGGAAATTTGGTGTAGGCCAGTTACCCCAAAAATTATGACATTTTGTTGGGAAGTATTCTATGGGAAAATAAACACTCTAGATAACTTACAAAAGAGAAGACCCTTCCTCTATATTTCTCCCAACTGGTGTATCCTCTGCAGAGTTCGTGGGGAGGATTGTTACCATCTACTAATATCTTGTCCATTTTTTGCAAACCTTTGGGCTTGGCTACTTTCATTGTTTGGGAGTAGTTGGAGCTTACCAGCAGAAGTTCGCATGGTCTTTAACCATTCTACTTTCTCTTGGCCTACAAAAAGAGGGAGACTTATGTGGAGATGTGCTCACGCTTCCCTGATTTGGACTCTTTGGGAAGAAAGGAATGCTAGAATTTTTCAAGAAAAGGAAAGGAGCAGTTAGGAGCTGAAAGACTGTGTGTTGCATAGGGCAATTCTTTGGCTAAAGACTTTGGAAATCTTTCATCAATTCTCTTTTAATGACCTATGGAGAAATTGGTTAGCAGTAGCGAGGTGTTCACACTTAAAGAACAAGTCAATTACAAGATGGTCTCCTCCATCTAAAGGCTCACTGAAGTTGAACTTTGATGGAAGTAGCATGGGTAATCCAGGATTATCCGGAATGGGGGGGGGGGGTATTCTGAGAAATGAGAATGGAGAGATTGTCTTGATTTACTTGGGTCCGTTAGGATTCGGAGACTCTATCAAGGCAGAGCTATTAGCTTTTGTATAAGGGGTGCAATTTGCAAACTAGCTAGGGGTACAGCATGTGATAATTGAAGGGGATTCCAATGTGGTGGAGGGCTGGTTGAAAAATCCTGAAGATGCTATGCTACAAGAACGAAATGAAGAAATTTAGTTGGTTGACAAGGAATATGTTTGTCTCTTTACAGTGGGTGGGGAGATCAGCAAATACTTTGTCTGATTTGTTAGCCAAGCAAGGGGTAAATAGGGAAGAACTGTTTTGGGATCAGTTGTGACTCCTATATTTTTTCCTAGTTTACTTGTAAGATTCTAGGAGGGGCTGCAGCTCGCGCCTCTCCCTAGAATGTTGTATGAAATCACAACTCTAAATCAGTTTTGGAATTAATAAAATTTTACTATTACTCATCAAAAAAAGCTTGGTTCATGAGGCTCGCAAGCCTAATCAAGGCTAATATATATAATAAATAATTTTTATTACATGTATACATACATACATACATATATATGTATGTATAATAAAACAAATTTTATTACATATAATATTTTCATTTTTATGTATGATAATAAATATTATATATAATATTTTATTTTTTATATGTATGATAATAAATAATTTTTATAATTCTTAATTTTTTGTATGTAAAATAAAAAAAAAATTGTGTACAGTTTTTATTTTTTATAGGAAGCTTGGCTCACAGTCGAGCTCGAGCCAAGCCGAATTCAAGCTCAAGTCTCTACCTCGAATTGAGCTCAAGCTCGAGCCTAGCATATTTTTGACGAGTCGAGCTCGAATAGCCAGGTATTCGGCTCAGCTCAAATCCACCCCTATTTCTAACTTTGATTGACCATGCCAAGTCTGCATTTGTATACCCTTCTAAGGAAAGTTCTTCTGCTTTCTTATATAGAAACCCTTGACCTAGAGCACCCTTAAGATAACGTAGTACCCTAATAATGTCTTCCCACAAGACTGACCTTGGATTTTGTATAAATTGGCTCAATAATCCAACACTGCAAGAAATGTCTAGCCTTGTAATGGTAATATAAATCAGTTTCCCTACCAATCTCCTATACCATCTAAGGTCAGCTAGAAGTTCCCCCTTACTATCAGACATCTTCACATTCAGATCTATAGGAGTGTCTACTGGCTTCGCTCCTAACAAACCTGAAGAAAACTGAAGAGAGGAGAGCTTGAGAGTTCGGCAATGAGGGTTGAGAATGAGAGTTTCGAACCCAACTCTCTCTCAGCACCCTAACACTATTTTATTAAGAAAGATTTAAATAATTACAAGGAGGCCCTTAGTTGGGCAAGAATTTACAAAGAACATAATATAGACAGGATGGGCCCAGAATAAGGCCCATTACAGAAAAACATAAACAACAAGAAAGAATAAACAGCCTATGGGCCATTCGGCCCATCTTCTCTACAAAACCAATTTCTTCCAACAAGTCAAGCACACATTTCCCTTGTGAAAGAGAGATTCCACACTTCGACCTTGCTTTTTTTTTTGGACAGTTAAAAATTCATTAGATTTCACTAAATTCATTAGATTTCACTAGAAGCAAAGGATAAAGAGTCTGTTACAAGCATCCTAGTAGGAGGTACGAAGTGCAACCTCACTCATTAATACAAAAACAACATAAAGTGGCATGTGGGCCTAGTACAACTGATCCTTAGTTACTCCTTGCTTAGCTAGAGAATCAGCAAAAGCATTTGCCTCCCTTCCCACCCATTGTATAGTTACATTCATCTGCTGAGTTATCCACTTGAACCTTGTTATTTATATGCCCAAAAAAATACCTCAAGTGCCCTAAATCCTTATTCTGGAACCGATTCTATAAAAAACTGTTTCAACTCTCTAATACCTTGTTCATCACTACCTGTAATAATAATGCCATCAACATAAACTGCTACGACAATCTTTCCAAAGGCAATATTCCTACTAAACACAAAGTGATCAACACTACACTTTTTCATCCTAAACTGCTGTACCACACTACTAAATCTCCCATGCCAAGTTCTTGGAGATTATTTCAACCCATAAATTGCTTTCTTTATCCTGCAAATTTTTCCTTCCTCCCCCTGAGCAACATACCCAAGAGGTTGATTATCTATCTATCTAGATGCACACATTGATCTATATATACTTCCTCTCCATGGTGCTCTAGAATACAACTATAACACTTGCACCCCTTCTGACTTGTACAGCATGCTAAGAATACACATTTAAGAGCACAGGAATCCAATTTGTCCAAACCAGGACCTAAATGATGAACAAAATAAACACACCCAAAGACACAAGGAGGCAAAGGAAACAAAGCTGGGAAGGAAAAACAAGAGAAAACGGGGTGTCACTGCTAGAACTGATAAGGGCATCCAATTAATGAGGAAACAAGACCAACACCACTAACCACTCCAATATTTCATAAGAACTCAAGCAGTATCAAGTAAATGCTTATTATTCCGCTCAACTACCCCATTTTGTTGTGGAGTGAAAGAGTAAGAAGACTAATGTATAATTCCATGTGACTCAAAGAATGTATGAAACAGGCATCAAAAATATTCTTTTGCATTGTCAAAACGAAAATATTCAATTGAAACACCAAATTGATTCTTCATTTCAACATAGGAGAAAATGATATCAAATGGTTTTTTACAAGATTTCATTAAATAAATCCAAGCCCTCCTTGAAAATTCATCAACAAATGAAACAAAGCACTTAAAACCATTATAAGACTTAAATAGACACGAACCTCAAACATCTAAAAGAAAGACTATTATTTTCCCTTGGAACGAAACACACACGGTGATGTTTACTAAGCTAGAAGACTTCAAATTGCAACTCACAAACAAACACTACATCTGAGACAAGACTCGAGAGTAGGAACATAAAAAATAGAGTGTAAACTAAGGTCAGAACCAAGAGACATTACCGGTACCAATAATAGCAAAAGAAGAACCATCAGCTAAGGTAACGGTTTGTGAGGTAGAAGGTGGTGACAAGGATACAAACATATCCGAGGAGCCAGTCATGTGGTCTAAGGCTCCAAAACAATTGCCCAAGGTGAAGGTGAAGAACTAGAAACAAGGCAAGCAGTACTTGACTTCACAAGTGTAGCAGTGGTAGAACTAAAAGACGCAAACTGGCAAAGCTTTTCATATTCCTCACGTGAGATAGAGATTGTGTCTTTATCCTTACCAACATTAGAAGCAAGAGCATCTTCAGTCACACTAAGACTACCAAAGTCACCTTCTACCATTGCATGGTTAGCCTAGGAAGATGGAGGACCATAAATATCATAACAAAAGTTGACTGTGTGACCTTCTTGTCCACAATGTGAGCACTCACGAGCTGAACCATAGCCACTACCACTATGACCACCACCTCTTCGCGCACCTTTGGGCTCACGACCAAAACCCCTCACATTACCTCCACCTCTGCCACCCATATTTCTAGTAGGAAAACCTCCTTTGGAAGCCACCATGGCTGATCTCTCTTAAGGTGGGGGATGATCACTATGTGGATTTGAGGGTCTCCTTATGTCGGAGAAAACCTCGGACAAGGATGGAAGATCACTGCTCCCTAAGATTTGGGCCCGCACTGGTTCAAATTCAGACCTCAACCCAGATAATAATTTTGCCACATCTAGATGTTCTTTTTGTTCTTGTTAAGTCTTCAAATCAGTGGATAGGGGTTGATAAACATTGAGCTCATTCCATAAGCTTTTTAGTGAAGCATAGTATTCTTCCAACACTTTTATCCCCTTGTTGAAGAGAAAAATAGTCTTGGTATAACTAGTAAATTCTTGTGACATTGTCTTGTCTAGAATACAATTGCTTGGCATGGTCCCAAATCTCCTTGGTCGTGTCTAGAAACATAAGGTTCACACTAAAGTGATTCTCCATACTATTCCAAAGGGATGTCATAATTTGGGCATTCTCTTCTACCCATTCATTGTACCCTTTTAATTCACTTTTCAATGGACCCTCCTTGATGTTCTTCAACTTGCCTCTTGCAATGAGAGATAGCTTAACTGGCTTGGCCCATGGGATATAATTAGTACCATTGACTTTCACCATAGTTAATTGAGAAGTCATGAAATCTGATTGCACAACTACTGTACGTTTAGTGCTACTATTTGATGAAGCCATGAGTGAGAAGAGATCACCGATTTATCACCTAGGCAAACTGTCAAACAGCTGGCATGCAACTATTGTAACTAGAGGTGTAAAGTGGGCCGTGCTGGGCCGGCACGGCACGGCCTGCGCAAAGTGTGGGACGTGTTGTGCTGGCCCGCGAGCCGTGCTGCCCTCCCTGGTGAAAATTTTGGGGTTCGGCCTAGCACGGCCCATGACGTGCCGGGCCGCGGGTGGCCCAGCCCGATTTACACCTCTAATTGTAACACACCTTTTTCTTTAGGAAAAATACAAAGAATCATCAGCCCTCTACTTTAGAAACACTTGGGAAATATTACACACTTACCACAAGGTGTCACCACACCACAAACTACCACAAAATCACCACGCATTGAGGAGCACCTACCTCACAACTCGAGACATCACAAGGCTGCCCTCTTCGAACTGCCGAATAAAGGGCTTTTAGAAAAACACCACCAACTCACACAACACTACAACTTGAGGCATTAAAGCCCCTTTTCCAAGTGGGCAATCAGTCCTTTTCCTCTCCAACACCTAGGGCACAAAAAGTTGAGACGTGAACAGCAAAGTCGGCCTCAAGGCTCTGATACCATGTTCCAACTTTAATAAAGAAAAGAAAATGTGAATAAAAGGATAGAAAAAAGAAAGAGAAGAAGATAGGAAGAGAAAGAGAAGGGGAAGAGAAGAAAAGGAGAAGAAAAGTGGGAAGACTAGCAAGGAGAAATCTGATTCTGATCTACACCTCCTTACTGTCGACCCAGGTTGTATTAGCATTCTACTATAGCTGAAATGACTACAATACCCTTAGGTAAGTTACAACAGACATAAGAGCAAAAAATAACATGAAAAAGATAATAATGTCCCTGTTAACTAATTCTAACAACAGGAATAGGAATCGGAATTGGATTAAAAGCTGGAATGGGATTTCATTCCCAAGGGAATGGGAGGGAATGGTGAATGGGGGAATGCCATTGCAGCAGGAATGGGAATGGAATTCCAACTCCACCAAATGGACCCTAAAGAGAACCAGTGTTCAAGTCAATCACCAAAGAACTGCTAACAAAGATATCATTTCATAATGGTCTCTCTTGAGGAATCTTGTACTGTCATGTCATTATCTGCTCAGATGAGCATCATTTCCTTTACCAAAACTTAGCTTTAAATGTTTCAAATTTCTCTTTTTCCTTCTTAATCTATTTGTACCACTAGATCATGTCATTACCACCAATATGCTAAGTGCTTGTTTAGGAGACTTTCAGGTAGCAGCTTCTGGTTTATGAGGTAAGTGCTGCTTTCTCATGGGCCTAAACAGGAAACCATATCCCAATACATAAAACAAACAGGAAACCTTGTTCTGTAATGTCATCATCTACAGCTCAGAGCCTCAGACAAGCATCATTTCCTAAAACTTAGCTTTAAATGTTCCAAACTTATCTTTTCATTCTTAATCTACTTCTACCACTCGATCATGTCATTGAAAGCTTCTTCCACCTATAAATTTCTCATTACCACCAATATGCTAAGTACCTGTTTGGGAGGGCTTTCAGGTAGCGGCTTCTGGCTTTATGCGGTAAGTGCCACCCAGACAGTCATAAGCTATGTTTAGTGAAAACCTAGGAGAGCCCAAAATAACCGTCTTTCATCCGGAAATAGAGCTTTCTACTGAAGCTTCTTTTAGTGGCTTCTCCAAAGTAGCTCAATCAAAGTTTCATCCCTCCCAAATGGGCCCCAAGAAACAGCTAACATGACACCATAACAAGTTGCAAAATCTTCAAAATTAGCCGTAAGGCCCTTCCCGACACCTACCCCATAAGAAGTTATAGCTTTGCAAGGGTTCCAATCCTAGACAACAATCTTCTCCAACTCATGAGGCATCAACAAAGAGGTATTGTTGCAAAATCTAGATAGGTGCTTACAGTCAAAGTACTTTTATAAGAATAAGGTCAATATGGTTTTCCATAATCATTGCCTAACTCAACCAGTAAGGGATTACATAAACGGTGTATGAAGTGTAACGTTTTCACTAAGCATTAGTAAAATGAATTCATCCATGAGGAACGGTATTGCAGGATTATAATTCTTTTTCTTATCGATAAGTTACCTAAGGATATCTAACTGCTTTGCGTGTCTAAATTATTCTTCAGATTTAGTAGATTACATTCTATATTCTATCCCTTTCGGTTTCTACCTACACTGTATACCTGATAACAAGAATTAGGATTGTGAAAATGCAATTCCATTTTTCATCCTCACTGTCAAGCATATAAGAAACGGTTGAACTTAAAAGTTTCACCCATATGGCCATTTATTACCAAATATAAAATGAAAAATAAAAATGAACACCTGACTGAGAACAACAATGCCTGCTTCTTGTGGACCCAATATGCGAAGACCAGTTTTGACTCCAGACAAACCCTCTTTTCGTCCAGAAAGAATATCATCTGCATCCCGATAATGGTTTTCTAACAAAGAGGGCAACCGCAACAGTAAAGCTGCCAATACCGGAACAACTTCCCCGAACCATTTCAACGCTTCAACACGAGACATTAGCTGCACAAATTACCTCAACGGTGTAACCATGAAAGATACTCCATTTGCATCTCATACAACCACAAAAATTAAAGCCTTCGAACCGTTACATGAAATACATTTTTCAAATAACAAAACCTAGACGCCATTCACTGATCGACTGGTCGATAAATTGATTGAGGAAGGTGAGTTGAATACATCGTCGAAGAAAAGTGCGTATCCTTCGGCGGCTGAAAGAGCTAAAAGATGGAAAGACAGACGGAGAGACTCCCTCATATCGGAGATGGCGAGGAAGAAAACCTCTCCGGAGTCTACCCTACTGTGATCGGGACCTCTCGACAGCGCTCGAAGAGTTTCGACTACTTGCGACGACCACGCCAGAGAGGAAGACTGAAGCCCCAGAGGCAAAAACGAAAGAATTGAGTTCAAATCCTCTCGGTTTTCCATTCTCTGTGACTGCGCGACACTGCGTTTCAGGGGAGTGGCGACAGAACTTGGAACCGGGGTGGAACGAGGATGCACGAAAGCTGGTTGGGACCCGTGCGATGCACGGACTTTTCTTAAGTAAATAAAATTGAAGCACAAGAGCGGTACGATATCTCGACATTTTCCTCAGCTCATTCAAGTGAAATCGAACAAAAAATATTTAGTATTTACCAAAAACAAAAGTCGAACAAAATTAATAAATTTTAAAATAAAACTTGTTTTTATTAATTAAGTTTTAAAAAAAAATTATTGATTAACTTTAAATTTATTTTGAATAGTTGAAGGGAATTTAGGTTTATCAAATTATAATTAAAGGAAAATTCCTAATCATAATCCTATACATTAGGAGTTGTCTCAAATCAGTCCCCAAACTTTAAAACGTGTCTTTGTATTAAATTTTCAAAAACTGTCTAATATGTCTCTAGTGTTAATGGTTTGTTAGTTATTTATATCGTGGTGACATGTGCCACTTAAAACTTTTAAAAACATCAAAACCATCCTTTAAAATAAGACACTATTCATTATCTTCTACCTTGAAATTGAATCAAAATAGATATTATTTTCATCATACCATTAAAACTCAATGAGACTTCACCAAATTCATCCCCCTCACCACACAGGACCCATGCCACAAATAAAACAAAACAAAAAAGGGGGGTTTTATAGTTCAATCCACCTCAAAAATCTGACCCCAACCATAGATGAATCTTGCCCATGGGTTGATGCCAAATTCATGGGTAGGATGCGGTTTATAGGAGGCTACTAGTAAACTATGAGGGGGCTACAATTTCAGATTTCTGAGTGGATTGAAGTCACAATTTCAGATTTCTGAGGGGGATGCAATTTCAAACGTGGTTGTGGCACTTGTAAGATTGGTAGCAATCTATAACATTTTTATCTTCAGTCTCAATGTGGAAGACAATGAATAGTGTCTTCTATTGAAGGGTACTTTTGGCATTTTCAAAATTAATTGACAGATTGTTAACTACGGGTACTAATTAGATAGTTTTTGGAAGTTCAAATATACTGCAGAGACATGTTTCGAAGTTCGGGGAGTGACTTGAGACAACCCTTAAAGTACAGGGTACTAACCAAGAATTTTCCCTATAATTATTTATAATTATAATAATATTACAAAACGATTTTTTGTAATTATTTTAGCACTTTAACTCTATTATTTAATTTAAAATTATTTTTTAATGAATTGATCTCTTAGTTTTAAATTTTAGTAATATAATTATTTTTAAATGTAATTTAAATGGATTTTAAATGGAACACTATGTGTCTTCAATTCTTAGGATCAAAGTCCATTATCATAATGGTTTATTCTATCCACCTGTTTGGTTTAAATAGGAATCAAAATCAGATGGAGTGGAATCTTATTCCCAAGGGAGGGGGAGAGAATGGTCATTCCCTCAAATGAAATACTGCCATTCCACCAAAAATGAAAATGAAATTCTGCTCCACCCAACTAAATAGCTGGAATCCAATTCCTTACACGATCTTCACCTCTCATTAATATTACAAAATAAATGTGGTCTCTCTAAACCCAATGAAATCCCCATTATAAGGATCTCATAAAACTGCCCTCTGAGTGGCATGTGATCTTTGCAAAGAAAGGCTCGCTTCGATCTCTTAGGTTCAGTTTCGAAGGAATACAAATATAAATATGTACATACAAATATATACAAAATACAAGGTTTTGCACTGTACATATTTATATTTGTACTCCTTCTAAACTGAGCTTTAGGAGAAATGTAGTGCTGGATCATGCACAAGATTAACCTATCTGACCTCAAACCCTATTGCTCTTCCACGCTTCTAGTATTCCAATCCCGATTTCAAAGCTCGATCTCTAACTATTCGTATCTCATTAGCTTACAATTATACTTTCATTTTGATCATTTAGTTATATAGTTTTTTATCCTTTTAATTGATTTTGAATTTTATCATTTATTTGTAAAGATTAAAAATTATTAATGCTGTACTTTCAATTTTTTATTTTTATTAATTAGTTTTAAAATATAATCAATTGTAAAGTTATCTAGTTTTATAATTAATTTAAAATTGTTTTTTAAATCAATTCTATATTTATATTAATTAATTTTAAAACTTTTACTAATAAAATTTTAAAATGGGTTACGGTGCAAGTAAGTTACCCATGCAAAAAATGGACTGCCAGTTAATGCAACTAGTGTGAAGAACATGGCAACCATGTAATGCACAAGTTTGGTTAAATTTTAAAACATATCAAAAAATGGGTACCCATTATGATCATCCTCTTCACCCAATTTAATTAGAAATCGGGTTTCATGAAACCAGCTTTAAATTTAAAGCATTTTTCTATTTGATTTGAGCATGTATAGGATAGAGAACATCCATGACCCTATCCCTCCCTTTCATCACCTCCTACTTGATGATCCAGTATAATGCTTCCTTTGAGATGGATTCCTCTAGCATCTTGAGTTTGTAGTCTCAAACCTCATCAAAACACAAACTCAAAATAAAAAAGAAAAGAAAATCAAACACTTTAGTTGGTTCAAGAACTCACTTGAGAAGTAGTTTTTTTTTTTTTTCTTATGTTGATAAGATTTTTATGTCTCTCGAAGATGTGTTATGTTTGTTCAAAACCTCTCTTCTTATAAACCCAAGGTTTTTGAAGCAAAAAAAAAAAAGGGGTTTTTTTCATTATCTAAACGGTTCTCTCTACTATATCCCACAACTACCAGGCATTGCTCATTGGTTCACTCTTCTCTCTTTGATCAATTCTTTTCGTTTTGAAGCCTTATCTATGGAATCGAATTAATCCATCATTGCTACAAATTAATCTTCTGCAAATCCCAAAGTATCCCCTCAAACTCAATAAAGGGCATGTGTGGCATTTAATCTCCCATTCCCAATGCGGAGAATGGCGATGGGAATCTCATTCCCATTAAGCAAACAGTTGAATTGGAATGAGTTCAGCTACAGTTCTCTCCCTTTTGCAGTTAAAAATTCAGTGTTAAGCAATCTGAAATGCAGTCTTAGTAAGCTAAGAAAAGGAAGAAAATATTATTTACAGGCACGATGGGGTACGTAGTTCGCCATGCCTAAAAGTCGAAATTCAAACAATCTTAAGAGCCTATATATTGCTTGGGTTTGTGTCTTTGTGGATGGATTAATTCGGGACTCTGGATTCAATGCTCCGTTATTTAATGGTGAAATTGATGAGAAGCTGCAGGCATACCAATCGGTAGCTCGACAGTTGAATTCCAATAACGGAAGAGTAACCGATCGAGGGCTAGCTCTGTAACTCCCTCCTGATCTTCTGCATGCATGGACGCATGCATATTTATTATTATTAGGAGCAGGTTGCTCGTTTCATGGCTCAAACCACTCTATAAATGGCCATCTCATCCTTGTTCCTTCGCACCTCAATTTAATATATAGCGTACGTATTTGCAAAAATTGGGTGGAAAAGGTGGTGGTGGTGGTGGTGGTGGAGGTAAGGGTGCAGGTAGTGGTGGTAGCCGCGTGCGGAGGGAAAGGAGGTGGAGGTAGTGGCACCGGTGGTCGCAGCTCGGGTACTAGTTCTAGCAGCTATGGTTTATACAGTGGTAGTAGTGGCGGGTCTATGAAGGCTCCTGGTGGCAGAGGGGCTTATATTTCTAGGGATGCTTTTGAGAATGATCCAAAGGGATACTTCAACCAACTCCACGCTAAGGGAAAGTAGTACCCATAAGTGAATCCTCTTTCTATATATGGTTGAAGCTTGATCTTGGTTTTTAAAACAGAACCGGTCAAGGGTATGCTTGGCTTGTTCTGACAAAAAATTAAAAAAAATTGAAAAACAGTCAAAATCGTTCGAACGGTTTGAACAGTTAATCGGCCGATTCAACGGTTTGCTGACCAAAATCAACGGTTTTGGGGAAAAAAAAGATTTTGGGGGAAAACGGTTTCCAGTCTGACCATTCGATCTGGTCCAGTTTTGAAAACCATGGATATTATGTTATGTTCTATCATTTGATCGATCTTCCCAACTATATATTTGTCTAAAATTTTCCACAAATCCGTCACCTCCTTTTTCTTATAGTAATTAAGGTTGTGTTTGATACCATTCTACGTAATTTCTTCATGAAACGTTTTGGGGTTAAGAAAGATGAATTGTCACAATAGACAAGGCAATCGGGACCAATCATTGATATTTAGAGTTGAAACACAAAATTTAATGTTTCAAGTAACAACGGGTAATTTGTATATATTGATCAACCCTTTCTAATTATGTGACATAAAAACTCACATTTTAACATTGATTCTATTGATCAACCTCAAACGTTTCATGAAGAAACTGTAATGATACCAAAATACAACCTAGCTAAGTCTTACGGTTTAATTATCTACAGTTGCATTTTGCTTATTCAAACGCAATATATATATACATTGCTTTCATTGGACTTCATTATATAACTGTAAAGCGAGATTTCTAAAACTAACGAAAATCGGTCGGTTTTAATTTAAAAATGTCGAATACCATTAAGCTTATTCAAACGCAACACGCTAGAATTAATGGTCATCAATCTCTGATGCATGCGGAGTATGAATTATTTCTACTCATCCAGGGGCGGAGCTAGGAGTTTTTATTGAGAGGGGTCAAACCTAAAAAACATGGATAGGGGGGCCAAAAGCTAAGAAACATGGATAAGGGGGCTAAAATATAAGTGGAATTTAAATAGATTTTATGGGAATTTTGAATGTATAGGTGGGGCCATGGCTCCCCTCTGCCACCCCCTGGCTCCGTCCCTGTGCTCATCTCTAATTGTTGAGAGTATCATCAAATTATTTCCTTTCTTCAACATCAGCAGAACTAGCTAGCACTATGACTCTTGAGAGAAAGAGTCATATTCTTCTTTGTCTGCCGCATTTGTATGGTGTTGAATTTATTCATTAATATATTAGTTATAATGCTTGGAATGGATAATGGAGAAAGATAAGACAAGAGAATGAATAAGCAAGTACACATTTTCTGATCTATCTATTTCTCTTTCTCTGTCTCCCTTCTTGTATTGGGGAAAGGTCTTGTGTTTTTTATTTAAGCGACTCTTTTCGTTCATTAATTTGATCATCTCTGGGTTTTCCTATTATATAAAAAGACCAACTGATCACTTTTTTATTAGAGACTTGTGATGGACTTTGTGATAAAGTTCATCGCATTATCCTTACATGCGATGAACTTTATACTTAAGGTCTAATTGCTTCCTCATCCTTGTCCTGATAGGCTCTATCTGATGGAGTTCTGTTGTAACTTAAATTAATCTCTTGACATTGAGTGTCGTACACAAACTCAAACTCTAACAACCGTATTGTACTCAATCTTTATTTGGTCATCTATAAATAGTTCAAGGTTCGATCAAATCATTATTGAACTATTTTACCCATTCATCTTGATTCTTTCTACTATGTCTTCGTATTTTTTTTTATCTTGGTATCAAAGCCACGACTCCATAGTTTCCAATGACGACACAGGCTTAGTTCAGAATTCGGCGCAAAGGTCTCAATCCAATACTTCTCATTTCGGTGGAATAGGTTCTTCTTCAATTTCGACTTCGCCACACTATCTCCCAATCAAACTAATAGGAGAAAACTATCTGTTATGGAAAGCACAACTACTTCCGGTCTTTTATACTTACAGGGCCATGGGTATTGTTGATGGATCGATCAAGGCCCCTCCAAGAGAAATTGCTGATCTGAGTCAACCCAACAATATCGTACCAAATCCTACCTTTGTCAAGTGGTTTCAGCAAGACCAATTTATTCTTAGTTGGATTATCTCCACACTCATGAAGGGAATTTTCTCTTAAGTAGTGGGCCTTCGTTCTTCTCATGAGCTATGGACTGCTCTTGCAAAATCTTTTTTTACACATTCCCGCCCTTGCATACTTCAGATGTGCAGACAACTGTAAAGTCTTAAGAATGGTACTTTCTCTATTATCGGATACATTAATCGAGCCAAATGTCTTTCTGATAATTTATCTACTATAGTTGATCATGTTAGCCCTACAGATCTTATACTCTATGTATTAGTCGGACTAGGTCTAGAATTTGAATCGGTTGTTACCACTATCACCAATCAGCCCGATATGGAGCAACTAGGCCTCGATGATGTCTTAGGAATTCTGCTCAGTCATAAAGCTTGGCTGGAACAGCATCATACCCAACCTCTGGATACTACACCCACAACCAATCACACTTCCTACAAAGGAAAAATTCAGTCCTCCCAAGAGCAGAAACAAAATTTCTCAAATAACCGAGGCAAAGGCCATAGTCGGGGCAGTGGTCGTTTCAATGATAATGGAGGCGGAGGCCGTGGTCGTTCCATTATTATTTGTCAAGTTTGCAACACCCCTTGACACGGAGTACCGAAATGTCACAGACAATATGATCTCAATTTTAATAATGTACAAACTGAAGAATTTACACCTATTTCTTATCATGGAGGGTTCTCTTCGAATTTTGATCCTACATGGTACCCAGACTCAAGTGCCACACATCACACGATGCTTGGTGCTGAAAACCTGCAAAATCGGTTTGAATATGGTGGTTTGGATCAAGTCAAAGTAGGCAATAGAACAGGTCTACCAATTGCTCACATTGCTTCTTCTACTTTATCTCATAACTCTCATTTGTTTCAGTTGAATGATTTAATGCATGTTCATACTATTTCAAAAAAAATTGTTATATCTATTTTGAATTCCATCATAATTATTTTGTTTTGAAGGACTATATGGGGAGAACAGTACTTGGAGGGCCCAGTAGAGATGGGCTTTATTGCTTCCCAGGTAGTCTCAGCATCAAGAACACTTCTCTAGCTACTTTTGTTAGTGACGCACTACAATAATTGGTTGGCATCAGAGATTGGGATGTCCTGCCCTTCATATCGTAAGGCAAGTAATATCCAAGTTTGGGTTACCATTCTCCACCGACAATGGTTCTTTTGTCTGTGAGGCATGTTAATTAGGAAAAAGTCATAGGTTACATCTTCCTTCTTCAAATAACAAGTCTAGCAGTCCCTTAGAATTAATTTATTCAAATGTATGGGGTGTTGCCCTAGTTCAGTCACATAATGGTTTCAAATACTATGTAATTTTTGTTGATGATTATAGTAAGTTTACTTGGTTGTTCTTGATGTGAAATAAATTCGACATTTATAAGATTTTTCTTAAATTCAGGAGTCATGTAGAGGTTTTGTTTGAAAGAAAAATCAATTGTCTACAATCTAACTGGGGAGGAAAGTATCGACATGTGTCCACCTTGCTGCTCACGACATCACCCACCAACTTGCTTGCCCTCACACTCATGAACAGAACGATGCTGCTAAATGAAAACATAGACACATCATCGAGTCTACCCTATCTCTACTGGCTTCCTCTAATCTCCCGTATTCCTTTTGGGACGATGTTGCCTCCACTGCTATCTCTACTTGATTAATTGGCTTCCTACATCATTGTTACAAGGAGCTTGTCCCTTTGCTATGGCTACTGACTTTGTCTTAGTCGATATTTGCTGAAAAACGTATTTTCGACCAAGATGAAATGATGATGACAACACCACCACCGCCATCGCATGCGACAACAATAAGGAAGTTGGTCATGTAACTGGTTGACACTCGTGATCTTGCCCACAAAGGCAGCCAAGGCAGCTTGAGTCTATACATTATCATAGATTTCGATGGATAGAGGAAGTGAACTTCAACAAAATATATGTTTGGTATGGCTTCCGTTTATAAATAAACATCTCTACTTGATTTGTCTTCAAAACCGAGAAAAAGTGGTTAATAAATGTTTTTTTGGTATTTGTTGACAATTAGACATCATTAGGCACCATATAAGCGGAATAGTAAATAAGCATCTTTGTACTAGGGGAAATGTTAAAATGAAGATTCCCCCAACAATTAGCTTGCACGTAAACCAAGGCAACATTTATAGGATAAATAGGCATGCAAAATAGCATGATGGGACAAATGCCCACATGGCGATGACCTAGCATTAGTTATCAAATAAACAAAAGCCATACCAAACACACTAAAAAGTTAAGAGACTTGAACCCAATATGGAATGAAATTTTCGAGTTCATTGTCATGGATCCCAAGACAATGGTAGCAGAGGAACTCAAAATCGAGGTGTTCAATGACAAGATGTCCACATCAAAGATAATTTCATCCCAACAGGGACGGCAACAATGGTGAACACATGGGAAAAACTCACAATGAGGGAACCTCAATCTACTCGACTAGCTGGAGTTGACTATGTTCAAGCCCGAGAATTTCATGAGTTCTACAAGGTAAAGGGAAAGGACGTCTAGAGACAAAAATTGCACAAAGATTGAGTTCCCCTATTTATGGTTATGAAGCATCACATTACTTGTAGGTGCACTACTTTCTCCTACTTCCCCCCCCCCCCAAGGTTGTTTTTTGTCTTTGTGGAAGAGGAAGAGGACATCGGTGATTGTGTCATTGTTGCAGTTTCTGTTAGTAATAGTGCTGCCTTTCCCAACCCCTAACTCAAATGTACAGAGAACCTCATCTTTTCTCCATGCCCCGAGAAATTTCCACCCTAGATCTCCATAGAGAAATCACTACAACAAAAAGGTACATATGCCAATAGATATTAGTACTGATAGCCCTAATCTATTGGTATAAATGTTTTATACTAACGGATATGTACATTCATCACTATA